CGGCCGCGCCTAATTTTTCTTTGTACACAGAATGTTATTGCCCTTGGAAACGTTAAATGTTAATTTTTTGATGTTTTTTTTCTATTTTTGATTTTTCTCGAAAACTACGAGTTCAAACGAAGTAATAGGCTGTTGTGGGGTGCCTAACCCTAACCCTTTTTTTTGGTTTGAAACTAAATCGAGTTTTGAGTTCAATCGAAATAACAGCGTGCATAAGTATCTTCTGCATAAGTCCATTTCTTACATAAACATCTGATTTTCGAAAAGCCAAATTTTTAATTTGTTGACCGTTCTTTGTAAAATTTTGACTTTTCTCGATAACTAACTCGCCAATCTGACAATGAGGGTATACGTTGAAAGCCTATTAATATTGATTGGCTTCGCCAAATTTCTTTGAAAAATTTCATGGCTCTCGAAAAGTTCCTTACTTACGCAACAAAACTTACGAAGCGGAAACAACCCTGCCCTTCTTAGATTAAGTGTTCAATCGAGAAATCATGCTTTGCGTATATTTTTTGCTGAAGCGGCAATTAGCTACTGTTTGCAGAAAGAAGTTGTGGATTTCGGAAAATCAAGTTTTTGAGTTTTTTGAATTTTAAAATCTGAGATGAAAGGTGCAAGCGAAAGAATCTGTTGTGAGAGTCTCTCTGCAGAAGGGGATAGGCACTTTGTCTTAAAAATAAATTATGTTCTGGAGAAATTTCCTATTTTTCAATTTTTTTCACTCTTGTCACTTATTTTAGTAGAGAAACCACTAAGGTTTTTGGCAAAGTCAAATTTTTGAAATTACCATTTCGTCTCGCATCAGTACAACAAAATTAAAGAATATCAAACAGATATCGCCATTTTTAGCTGGGACCCTAGTTATCTTTAGGTTTTCGAATAGCAAGCGTTATCAAACTGTAAATATACTTTTTCGGGTTATCAACTTGTTTGACAGAATCACTTGTATCTTCGTTCATAATGAATTGAAACGTCTGTGTTGCCGGTCAACGTAGCATGGAGGTAACGAATATGTCTAGGACGGCAAAAGTCCTATCTTCGAATCTGATCAGGACCTGTTTTTTTTCTGTTATTGTTGCAATTATATATTGTTGCAATTAAAATTGTCGGCCAATTTATTGAAAACGTTTTGGTTTTTCTCAGCTTCTACTGATTTTCAAAAAGGGTATCAATTTAAAGACTGCCTACTACCCTGTTTCCCCGCATAATCTCCTAGAGTCTCTTTTTCTGGACCCCTCTGTCTACAGCCTTCGAAAGAGTCTGAGGGGGGACTTTGACCCATATTTCTGATTTTTTTTTTGTTTTCTCGAAAACTACCACTCTCAAATCTGACTTTTTTGTTTCAATGATTAGAACGGTTTTGAAAAGATCTCTGCAGAAGTGCCTACGCCCGTATTTTTACACATAAAATATGGCCCTCGGAATAGTCTTTTTTTAAATTGTTGACCGTTATGTGAATCTTTTTGACTTTTCTCGAAAACTATCCTCTCAAGTCTGATATCGTGGGTTCAAACGTTTGGACAATCGGAAAATTCAAACTTTTGATTTGTTGACCTTGTTTTGGTCTTTTCTCGCTGGTTATCCGGCTAAATCTGATATCATAGGTTTAATCGAAAGAGCATATTGTTTAAAGCCTACCCCTATAGGTGGCTATGCCCAGTTTGTTTAAGAAAAAAGTAATGACCTTCAAACAAGTCAAAGTTTTGAAACTGCGTCTGCTTTTTTGGAAAACTTGTGAATTTAAGCAAGAACTACCACGTGATTTCTCAGGTGGTGTTCAATCGAGAAACCCAGTTTTGGGAATCTTCTTATCTTTTCTGCTTAAGCGGCCACAATCTGCTTTTTGCAGAAAAAGTTTTGGGTTCTAGAAGTTCCGTTTTTTAGACCATTAAAAAATCAAATCTGAGATGAAGTTACTTTGAAAGAACCGCTGGAAATTTTTTCTCCGCAGAAGCGACGACTCTTTTTTTTGTAAGTAAAATGTTATCTCTTTGGGAAAATTTTTTCTCTCAAAATTTTTATTCTTCACTTTTTGCACATTAATTAATCACCAAAATTGCGAAAAGTTTGGCAAAGGCTGTAATGTCAAGCTTAAAAAAGCAGAGGAGAATATTTGATACAAGAAAACGCTTGCGTTGAAATTGTTTTTGTTTTACACTTGTCTTGTAATCCGGAACTTAACTTTTTTTCCCGTAAACAACTTTTCTTACAATAAATGATCTTGCTCATTATTGAACCTTAACAACTTCCAGGTTCCTTTTCGCTTAGCCTGGAGGTAAAGCATTTGATTTTGCACTCTAAGGTAAAGGTTTCGAGTCCCGGCATGACCTTTGAAAAAAAAATTTCGGTAAAAGTTGAGTTGTCGGACATTCGTTTGTCTGGTCAAGTTTTTACGGCTTAGGTGCCATATCATGGATTGCTGTGCTGGAAGCAAGTATCGTGGTTTTTTCAAGCGTTGTTAATAACAGTTTTTAGGGGCCAGTTGAAGTTTTAAAGGCTTTTTATAAAATATATATATTTTTTGGCTCAACTGGTGCCTGCTCAAAGATTGTCGGCTTTGTTTCTGCTTCGTAAGTTTTGTTTCGTAAATAAGGTCAAGGGTTCGCTTATTGGCATGACCTTGTTTTTTCAGTACATCTTGCTTAGCTTGTTTGCCTAGAATTCCTGTTTGATAAAAAGAGGTGTTTCGAAATATATGGGATTTGCTTTTATAACTGATTTTTTTGAGACGTTTGGGAACAGTTTTTCGTTTTTTGCAAAAAAAAGTTTTTTTTTCTCAAAAAGTACACTAATGATTTTTTTTTAAAAAGGTAACAATGGAAAGACCGCATACTCCCTTCAATACCTGAATAATGGCCTGTTTTTTTTCTTTAGCCCAATGTCTACAGTCTTTCTCGAAAACTGCTCTCCCAAATCTGAGATTTTGGTTTCAATAGACAGGATGGGTTGTGCAAAGCTCCCCTGCATAAGCGGCTTCGCCCAATTTTTTTACGCTAAAATTTGTGGCCCTCGGGACTCACAAATGTTTGAGTTTTTGACCGTTTTTTGAATCTTTTTGACTTTTCTCAAAAACTTTTCTCCCAAATCTAACATTGGGTTTAATCAAGATAACGGGTGGTCTAAAGTTTTTCTGCAATAGCGGCCACACCTATTTTTTTTTGTACACAGAATGTTATCGCCCTCAGAAACGTCAAATGATAATTTTTCAATGTTTTTTTTCTATTTTTGATTTTTCTCGAAAACTGCGAGTTCAAACGAAGTAATAGGCTGTTGTGGGGAGCTTGCATGGTTGACATCGTCCAATTTTTTTTCGCACAAAAATTTATTGCGCTCGAATATTTTTTTTTTTGGTTTGAAACTAAATCGAGTTTTGAGTTCAATCGAAATAACAGCGTGCTTAAGTATCTTCTGCATAAGTCCATTTCTTACATAAACATCTGATTTTCGAAAAGCCAAAATTTTAATTTGTTGATAGTTCTTTGTAAAATTTTGACTTTTATCGATCACTAACTCGCCAAATCTGACAATAAGGGTATACGTTGAAAACCTATTAATAATGATTGGCTTCGCCAAATTTCTTTGAAAAATTTCATGGCTCTCGAAAAGTTCCTTACTTACGCAACAAAGCTTACGAAGCGGAAACAACCCTGCCCTTCTTAGATTAAGTGTTCGATCGAGAAACCATGCTTTGCGTATATTTTTTGCTGAAGCGGCAATTAGCTACTGTTTGCAGAAAAAAGTTGTGGATTTCGGAAAATCAAGTTTTTGATTTTTAATTTTTTGAATTTTTTTAAAATCTGAGGTGAAAGGTGCAATCGAAAGAATCTGTTGTGAGAGTCTCTCTGCAGAAGGGGATAGGCTCTTTGTCTTAAAATTAATTGATGTTCTGGAGAAAATCCTTTTTTTTTCGAAACTTATCACTCTTGTCACTTATTTTAGTAGAAAAACCACTAAGGTTTTTGGCAAAGTCAATTTTTTGAAATTACCATTTCGTCTCGCATCAGTACAACAAAATGAAAGAATATCAAACAGATATCGCCATTTTTTGCTGGGACCCTAGTTTTCTTTAGGTTTTCGAATAGCAAGCGTTATCAAACTGTAAAATATACTTTTTTGGGTTATCAACTTGTTTGACAGAATCACTTGTATCTTGGTTCATTATGAATTGAAACGTCTGTGTTGCCGGTCAACGTAACATGGAGGTAAGGAATATGTCTAGGACGGCAAAAGTCCTATCTTCGAATCTTACCAGGACCTGTTTTTTTTCTGTTCGCTGGTTATCCGGCTAAATCTGATATCATAGGTTTAATCGAAAGAGCATATTGTTTAAAGCCTACCCTTATAGGTGGCTATGCCCAGTTTGTTTAAGAAAAAAGTAATGACCTTCAAACAAGTCAGTTTTGAAACTTCGTCAGCTTTTTTGGAAACTTTGTGACTTTAAGCAAAAACTACCACGTGATTTCTCAGGTGGTGTTCAATCGAGAAACCCAGTTTTGGGAATCTTCTTATCTTTTCCGCTTAAGCGGCCACAATCTGCTTTTTGCAGGAAAAGTTTTGGGTTTTAGAAAGTCCGTTTTTTAGACCATTAAACCATCAAATCTGAGATGAAGTTTAATTGAAAGAACCGCTGGAATTTTTTTCTCCGCAGAAGCGACGACTCTTTTTTTTGTAATTGAAATGTTATCTCTTTGGGAAATTTTTTTCTCTCAAAATTTTTTATTCACTTTTTTTTAGAGAAACAATTCAGTTTTTTTTTGCAAGTCCAATTTTGAAATCACGTTTTTCTGGCCGCATTAATATAGCAAATTCATTCAATATCAGACACATACCTCCAGCTTTAGCTGGGCCCTTAGATTTTTCTATCGAGACTTAAGAAAGTTTTGGTTCATCAAGTGTTTTTTAACATTTAATTTTATTCGACTCTTTTTGTGTGTGTTGTATCGCAAGTAGTGCGAAGCTCCACTTCGCCTCTGTGTAATAAAGTGGTGTTGTTTTAGAGCAAGAGATAGCAAAGAATCTGCAGAAGGAGAGGGATGAGTTGCTGAAGAAGAAGGCGAAGTTGATGAGTGAGAAGAAGGAGATCAGCAAAAATGTGCAACAGGCAGCCAAGCAGTACAGGGAACAGCAGCTACAGCATCACCAACACCACGCACACCAACAACAACAACAGCAGCAAACAAAGTAAGAACGAAATAGCACAGAATGTTCAGAATTCGGTAAATACTTTGATCGAAAAGATTCCCTAAACTGCGCAATGGCTTCCTCACACTTTTTCAAGTTCGGTCGATGGTACCTAAGAAAGAATAGGGGGCAGTTGTCGAAAAAATGGTCAAGTACTCCTATTGTATAAAGAGATACCTTCCCGACCGTAGTGTTTTTCATATCTTTTGCTTTTATTTTTGGTAAAAATAGGGGAATTTGTTATATGGGCGAAGGTAGTAGTTCAAATTAAAGAAGTTTTTTCTGTTCTTTATTTACAGCTCCTCGAAGCTTGCACCCGATTGCCAAAACCAACTCTGGCATCAAATGCCGGCCATGCCCTCTCACTTACCACCACACGACTGTCTGGACCCCTCCAGTCAATGCAATCAACAAACCCCCACGTCCGAGGCATCTGGTCAACACTGCTCAGAAACGTCTTTTGAAACCCTATCAACTTCGGGTAATTCAGGTCCGTGCTGTGAGCATCATACGTTGCCCACGGCCTGTGGAGATGTCAAAACTGGGTCCCAGAGTCAACCTGGGCCGTCGCCATACCTCGAAGAAGGATTCTCAGCCGCCAATCCTCTCGCAGGTTGCAACCTTCAGAAGAATGTCGGCATTCCAAAGGTCGACAACAGCAAGCAGTGTCTGATCAATAATTTAAATCGGCCGCCGGGTTCAGGTGGGGGCGGGGAGATAGGCAATGAAGGTAACTCATACGCAAATCGGCAGGTATCTGTCCTAAATCCGCAGTTGGTCAACCACCCGGCTCTATCGGGCCTGGGATTCGACGGATCTCTGGAGAACTTTGACGTCGGCAATTTCCCTCTTTCAATGGTGCCACAGTATCCCATGAACAATGTGACTGGGATCGACTCTGCGATTCTGGAAAAATTGAAGCAATTACCTGAAAGTAAGTCCTCGACCATTTCTTGTTTCAGCAACAGTGTTTTTCTGACATCTTTGAGAGATCATCATCAGGTCTCACAAAGATTTAGGTGTCGAGTGGATTCAAGAATACAAATAGTCCTACGTTTTTTTAAAATCAATAAACGTGTTTTTATTTTAAGCCGAGCAGCGGAAGCTGATTGAACTTACCACCACCCTCGCGTCTGCAATCGACAACCCACACCTGCTGCAATATGTCAGCCAACAGTCACCCCAAAACACCACCTCCCAACAACAACAACAATCAGGTTCCCAAAGCTCTTCGAAGAGTCCATCATCCCAGGTGTCTCCGACCACGGCAACTACGTCGGCACCCCAAACCCCGACTATTCAGCAACAACAGCAGGCAATAGCAACCACCTTCGCAGCAGCAATCGCAGCCTCCCAGTCATCCAACATCCTAAGTCCGGAATCCCTTGCATCGACATTCAGCATGGAGAATGTATTGAATGCGGCAGGTCTGATTGCGGCAGTAAATGCGGACCCCTCCCAGCGGGTTTTCGACCTGCTGAATCAAGGGTACTCCGGTGATAAGATGATCGCAGACCAGCAGCTGGCGGCACAGTTTGGAAGGATGGATCTCGAACCAGGTTTGGACTCTTTTTCTCTATCTCGACTCTCGAGTGAAGTCCAAACATTTTTTCCAAGGAAAATATCATTGTTAAGCAATTGAAGTTTATATTCATTTTTTAAAATTTCAAATAATTTTTTGAAAGATGCTGAAAATAACAGTTTAAGATTGAAGTAACAATAGCACGTCGTTCAAATATTTCAGACCAACAAGAAACATCACAGACCGGAGACCTCTTACTTGCGCCTAACCCCTCCCCCACCGAAGGCATCGGAACCCCAAACCGATCCACCTCACCCTGTGAGAACGTCCCCTCGTCTTACATGTTCCGACCCGGTGACCTGTATCCCGTAGGTGCAACACCTGCCGGCATTCTTCCCACGGGTGTCATTCCCAGTTTCCAGGGTCTCACGGCTGAACAAATTATGGCCTTGAACGGTCAGACAGCGAGTAACGGAACGCAGACGGCAAGTATTGCTGGACAACCTGTGATCATGCCGCAAGCGTTGAATCAACAGCAGCAGGTATATTGCTTCGTTTTCTCGCCTAAAAAACTTTAGATAAAATGAAAATTTCGAGTTCTAGTTATAAAATGTAGCAAAATTTGATGCGAGAATTGAACGTTCTGGTTCTGAGATCTGGCAAAGTTTGATGCAAAAAATGGCGATCAATTTCTTTTTGGTAATTTTCAGGACTGCTGAAGATTATTATGATGTCATTTTAATGCACTGAAGATACTATTACAACATGGATCTATATTTCAGGTTGCTCTAGCTTTGAACAACGGTGTACCAACCATGGCAATGGGAGGCAGAACTACGGTGGAGGTTAACGCGCAGACAGATAGCAATAACGACACCCCGTTGACGATCGCGGCCGCGGCTGGCAATCGAGACATAGTGAGAGAGTTGTTAAAGAGCAAGGCGGATATCGAACACAAGGATAAGAAAGGTAGAATGATTTGATCGTTCACTCCACTAGAGAAAATGCACGGGAGAGGCTGAAGTCGAATATATACCAATAATTTGACTTTATTGACAATAATTGGGTCTTTTTGGGCGCCTATGAAGAATTGAAATTCCATATATAAAATTATACTTGGAATGTTAACAGTTTTCCGATTGAGTTGATTTTGAAACTACGTTAAGTTAAATGTTCGTTTTCTTTCAGGTTTCACCCCTCTCATCCTCGCCGCTTCTGGTGGTCACGTGGACGTTGTCCGGTTGCTCCTGGAAACAGAGGCACAACTGGAAGCCACGAGCGAGCGAACCAAAGACACGGCCCTCTCTCTGGCATGTTCCGGAGGAAAGGAAGATGTTGTCTGTGTTTTGCTGGAGAAGGGAGCAAACATTGAGCATCGAAATGTATCTGACTACACTCCGCTTAGTTTGGCAGCGTCAGGAGGGTACATTAAGATTATCAAGATGTTACTGAGTGCGGGTGCTGAAATCAATTCCAGGTAAAGAGATGAATTAATTGTCAAAGAATATACAACACAGCGAGTGCTTTCGCTATAAATTTCGTGCTTGAGTTTCACAATAAAAGTAAATCTGTTTTTCAATGAAAAAAGTGTGCAACGTGAAAATGTACTGCAATTGTGATTTTTTAGTGCTTGAATTGAATTGAATTATTCAGTGAGAAAATTTACGTATACAATATTTAACTCACAAGGATCGCACACGAGCCCTGAGGCTCATCGGGGCGAGACCCTGGAAAACAAAAATAAAGTTGAAGTGTTATTTGTGCTTAATTAAAGTGCTTAGTTAAGTTGAAGTATACATTGATGTACTTTTCATGCTATAGAACTGGCAGTAGACTTGGAATCTCACCTTTGATGCTAGCTGCAATGAACGGCCACGGAGAAGCAGTGAAACTCCTCTTAGACCATGGCAGTGACATAAACGCTCAAATCGAATCCAACCGAAACACCGCTCTAACCCTCGCGTGCTATCAAGGACGACACGAAGTTGTATCGTTGCTTCTAGAACGTCGCGCCAATATGGAACACAGAGCTAAATCTGGACTCACGCCACTGATGGAAGCGGCGTCGGGGGGTTATGCCGACGTTGGAAGAGTCCTCCTAGACCACGGAGCTGATGTCAATGCTCCTCCGGTTCCAGCATCTCGAGATACTGCGCTGACTATTGCAGCAGATAAAGGTCATTACAACTTCTGTGAAGTAGTGGTAGCAAGAGGTGCAAATGTCGAGGCGAGGAATAAAAAAGGCGGGACTCCTCTCTGGTTGGCGTGCAATGGGGGACACCTGGACGTCGCGATGATGTTGGTGACCTCGGGGGCGGATGTAGACGCCCAGGACAACAGGAAGATTTCGTGCTTAATGGCGGCATTCCGAAGGGTGAGACTAGTTGTTGATAAAGTACGTTGAGGCCTGCGTTCGAAATCCTTGTGAACTAGACATTTTGAAGTATGGTTCGTATTTGGTTCGCTTTGATTAGTAATCGCGCGATGAACACGAGTATATATCTAAAAAGCGGCAGAATTTTAGTTTTGGAACTGTAGTTTGCAATGTTTTGAAGTTTCTTTGCTTTAGGGTCACGTGAAAGTTTTGCGATATCTGGTGAAGAAGGTGTCGCAGTTCCCGGGCAACCAAGAATGTCTGCGGTACATTGCGACCCTAAGTGACAACGACCTTATCAAGCGCTGCAACCAGTGTCTGGACATCATCTCAAACGCCAAGGACAAGCAGGCAGAACAGGCCAACAAAAATGCAACTTCTCTACTCCAGGAGTTGGACGATGAGAAGGTATCGAAACTCGAATTCCTGTTTTTTTTTTAGTTTGATCGAAGTTTTTGTTTCTCTGCTGAGGCATCAAATTTTTCGAAAAAATCATTAGTGCTCAAAATACTAATATATGTATTTTAAAGGCATAATCAGTCGCGTAGAAATTCTGATGATATCTGGACTTTTAGTGCCAAGACTTTGAAAATTCTTGCTTTTCTTGAAATATTTAAAAAATTCATCAAATATAGAGTAGGACATGTATTTTAAATTCAACATATGGGTGAACTATTAGAGTCTACAAGAGCTCTGAAAGTAAATAGCGCTGCAATGACCCAATTGCGAGGAGAGTAAATTAAGATCAAGCCGATTTCGATTTTTCTGTGTTTAATTTGAGTAGCAAAAATGGTTCTAGAGAACTGTGAAAATTAATGTCCAAGAAATTTGCTATAATACATTTTGCTATTAGCACGGGTATTGCAGCCGGGTACTAATTTCTTTCCTGTTAATACTATTCGAAAAATAGCTTTTTATGTTGATTGTAAATTAACCCACTTGGATTTCGGTATATTTCATTTTTTTTTTTCGTTTTTTTTTAATTCTTTTTTCGAGCCTAAAAGCGTTCGGCTTATTACTTATCGGCTTAGTGGCCTCATAATACGTAGTTTGAGGTGCAAAAATATCTCGAATTTTCAACTTTTTTTAGAGCTGAATGAAAATTTTTGAGCTGTAAGGTAATTTTTGTCGGCTCAACGTGTCTGGTCTGTTCAAGTATGTCACCTTTTTTACCGCCTAGCTAGTTTTCTTTCAGTGCTATTTACCCTAGCGAGCAGCTAGTGTATTAAAAGGAACCTTCTTATTTTCTAACCTAGCTCGCAATTGAAAAGAGTTTGTTGAAAGGGTTCATTTATTTGGCACTTTTGCTATAATCACGATCTGTAGAATTGGAGGCTTATTTCTACTTTTTTATTGCTTTTTTAGGGCTGATTTTTGTCGTATTCTCGCTAGTTTTTGCGAAGCGAAGCCTCGCCTCATAGTTGAACATTCAATTGTCTGGTTTGGCATGTTTTTTGTCTAATGGGACCTTTATCAAAACTATTGAAGACCGCATGTATACTGAGTAATAATGAATGAGATGAATTTTCAGGTGTTTCTGGTTTCCTGACTTACGGTTGAGTTATTGACAGTTGAATGCTAATTATTTTTTTTCCAATTTTCAGTCCCGAGATTTACAAGACCTTCCAGCTCGTTTGGTTAACAGCCTATGCACACTGGAATAATTTTGCAAATGATCATTGATGCTTGCGGTTAGGCTTTTGTAGAAACGTTTGTTCAATTATTCACTATCAATTGATTTCGAAAGGCATTTGGGTTTTATGGATACCGAGAGATTTTATAGCTTTTTTGTCGACGATACATCGATTTTTGCAAAAATTTTTTATGATTTCTGTTTTCTAATGATGGCAACGTTTCAGTTTAAGCCCAATGTTTCAAGTTTTTTTTCCAAAATTATGATTTCAAATGATTGCAAAACTAAAACAAGGATAACTGGTTACTGTGCAAGTAGCACAAAATGTTCCGACCATATAGTCTTTAAAAAACTACAAGATAAAGCTTTTTTTTTCAAATTAGTTTTTCTGTGTGGGGTGATAAAAAGTCTGATGTAAAACAATATTTCAGGCATATTTGACATTCATAGTTTTACAGGGAAATAAGACACAAACATTTTTTTAGAAAAGTTACTATAAAAACAAAAATAAAAAACATTCAAAAGATTTCAAAAATTTTTTAAATTTTTTGCAGAAAATGTTCATATTTTTTGAAGTTTTGGTTCCCAAAATGGAGCTACAAAATTCCAAAAAATAGTTTTAATTGCTTATAGCTAAGTTTTTAGGGTTTAAATTTCAAATTTTTCCTGGTTAAGCTGTTGTAAGCCTGCTCGCTTGCTTTAATCGCTCGAATTAAGACGAAAAATCAAAAATTATTTCAAACCGGTGTTTCTCAACACTGGCAAGTTTTTTTTCGGAGTTTTTTTTCGTTCGAATCACGACTGAAAGGGTCTTAAAATGATATATCACTCAACCCAGTCTGATAATTATTTTTGGAAGATGGACTGCTCGAATAAGCTGAAAGCTCTGAGTGATCTGACTGCCTCTTATGGTCCAATAAACAAGCCATTTATCGTGAATTTGAACTATAATTTGATATAGTTTTTACACAAGCCGAGCGTAGTGTATTATTACGAAGAATTTTTTTCTAACCCAAGTCGCAAATAAAAGTGCTCATTTGGTGACACTTTTGGTATATATAAATTCAATCATATTTAAGCTTATTTCAGCATAAACATTTTAATGGCATATATCGCTGCTTTATTTTTGACAAATGCCCATTTTGACATTTTGGTTAGTTTTTAAAACTGTTTCACATTTTCTCAAAATTCACCCTGCGAAATTGGAGATTAAGGTTTTTTTTCTATAACTAATCTGCTGATACTGAGGTTAATAGTTCAATAAAATTAACATGGTGCTTCGATTTTCCCTGTGTAATCTTTCTTACCCTTTTTGTTGGAAAGCTGGTCTGCAGTTTTACCGTTTTTTTTTTTGAAATTTCGTCACTATTCCGAAAAACTAGCTAAATCTGATATGAAGGGTTCCATCTAAAAAAAATTAGGGTGTAGAAATTTTCGATCTAAAACCCAGGTTGTGGAAAGCATGAGGTTATTCCCATGCTTTAGAGGGGAAAAAGTTATGGATTTAGGCAAAGTCAAATTTTTTATTATTTTTTTGAATCTTATTTAACTTTTTTCTAGGCATATCGAAAAGTTGGTCGGGAAAGTCTGGACGTACCAAAAATTGGTCGGGAAAGTTTGGGCGTACCAAAAATTGGTCGGGAAACTCTGGGCGTATCAAAAATTGTAAATGAAAGTCTGAATATGCCAAAGTTTGTCCTGAAAGTCTCGACATCAGTCGCGCATATCAACTCGGGAAGATCCGTTGGTTCGTTTAAATTTTTCTCGGATCGAAAACGTTCGGTAACTTCTCAGTTGTTGGACACAAGTGTCCCTACATGCCACGTTAACGTTTTAATTAAAGGAATTCTCTTGGATTCGCATTTTTTTCCTTGGCATTTTTATCATTTTTGCTGCTGCTTAGCAATCTCGTGGTTGCAGTTCAGAGGGGTATTTTAACGCAAGTGATTTTTCTAATGATGGGGGGACCAAAAGATGGAAAATTTCAAATAATCAGAATTGTTAAATAGGATCATATTGGCTAAAACGAAGTCCTTATTTACAGATACCGAATGATAGCAGGGGAACAATAATCAATCCGTGCAGATATAATATATTGTGTTTTTTTTCCATTTTCCCCAAATCAGTGTCCCTGATTGACTTCATACACGAAAAATGCGTATCGTAAATTTTCGTTCTAGAAAAACGCGTATCACACTATTCCATGTAAGAGCAAGGATAGCCGGTTGCTGTGCAAGTGGCTTAGAATGTTTTTTCTTCATTTTTTTTCGAATTAGTGGCATTTGTTGTGCGTGGTGTGATGAAAGAACTATACAAAAGCATATAAAGTTTGTAATAATGTCTTCAAAATATTAATTACAAGTGAATATTAATTACAAGTGAACGAAGTTTTTGAGAAGCTTTTATTTCCATGCGCTAAATGAAGCTTCCAAAACTAGTCCGTTTCGAAGAATTAAGTTTTTGTTAATCTTAAATGATCAATTTTTATATAACGAACGTTAATTACGCGATGCTTTTCTCGCTCGAATTTATTTTGTTTCTTCTAGGAAAATTCTTAAAATTTGTTCCGGCTATGAACGTTGTACATACTTTTATATAGGTCTCGATGATTTTTTCTCAGGAAAAGTCATAAAATTAGTTCGGGCTCAAATTCTTTTTTTTTTGCGGTTTGACTTTTGATTTCTTCTAAACGGAAGGCAAACTCCTTTATCGAACTGCAAAACTGTAAAGGTCACGAAAAGCGTGATCGACTTCTAGTTTCGAAAGTGAAATTTAATTTTCAAATTTCCCAGCGATTTAGTTCAATTTTATCGAAAACGTGCTAGTCACAATTTTTTCTAAAATTTTAAATAGCTTTAAGGGCATCTATTTTTTCATAAAACTATTTTTTCTGTTTGATTGCATTCATTGTCTCTGTTCCAACTATGTTGGCTTTGTTTTCTGTTTACTTGCGTTCATTGACTCGCTTCCAGTAGATTCATTTTTCGCGGTTTGATTTTTGATTGATTAAGAGTAATGAACGTTGTGAAGACTCATATAGGTCTTGCTGATTTTTTTGTTGTTTTTTTTAGGAAAAAGTCCTAAAATGCTCTAATAACTCCAGATGTTCATTCATACTTATTAATGCATTGATGAATGCACTTAGGTATATATCCATTTTTTGAGTTCAATTGAAAATCATTTGCTGAAAGTGACGTAAATAGCACTCTCCAAACACGAACGTGGAAATGGTGCGAAAAAACGTGATCGATTTCTAATTTTCGAATTTCGGAAGTTGAGATTTTTCAAAAAACAGTTCGGTGGTTTTTTTTTGTTTGATTGCATTCATTTACTCTTTTCCAACTGTCTGTTGGCTATATTTTCTGTTATATTTGGGGTATTTTACGTTTCGAAAGGTATTTCTCAAAATTCGAAGAAAAAATAAATCCCCTTAAATCTCGTTGAATTTCTGAAACAACTTATGATTGGCACGTTTTCGATAAAATAGATTTAATTTGAGAAAACTGAAACAATAGATAAATTTTCGTTTCGCTGGGAAATCTGAAATTAACGTTTTCATAGAATGTATAGTTTTGAGTTTTAATATTACAAGCATAGCTGTCTAATAATTTTTTCGTGTTCAAATGTAATAAGTTTCATAAAGTTTTGGTTTTTTGTTAACAAGGGCTTGTGCTGAGCTATCAGCAATAATTTGGTGACAAAAATCCGCCTTTGAGTGATATGGTTCATTGATGAGTGATAAATTTATGCTTATAGTGTCGCGAGGAAAAGCAGAAAGAAGCTGCAGCTCGCAAACGTGAAAAACGGAGGCTGAAGAAAAAGCAGCAAAAGACGAACAGCAACTCTAATAACGACGCAGATAAAGATGGTAATGAAAGTCAAGACGAAGACGGAATGGCGAACGACAAGGATGAAGAGGCGACAGGTAAATTTGGATTAAGTTGAGGGTCGATTTGGCATGTCAGTTGTAGGTAAAACTTAACGTTCTTCAAAACATACCGCACGATTTGAAATAAAAAGTTTAGAAAGTAGCGTCCATGATTTTCTTATTGGGCTATATTAATTTCCATTTCGTTCAACTTTCTTCTATTAAATAGCTTACTTTTGAAGGAAAATAAAAGAAACTTTATAAAATAGTCTTTTACAATTGATAATTTTTTTCTAATTGTACTGCTTATTGACATAAGCTCAATTAGGATCAATTTGATTTAATCTGTGATGTTTTTCATGGAAAAGTAGCCGACAATTCTGGTGCAGATCGGAAAGCAGAAAAGAGTCAGCAACTGTCAGGTAGTGGAAAAATTGGTGGCGGCAGTATGCCCAGTAGTGCAGCGGGAGGCATCGCAGGCAGAAAGATCCTGAAAGCTCAGAGCTCAATGTCCAATGGAGTTGTAGAGGATACTTCGAAGGACGGAGGAGATGCTGACGATGAGACAGGTATTAATATACTGTCATATTGTAAGGATCTCGTTCTTTGAATGGACTTATTTCCTGGCTTTGACGTGGACCAGTTTTATTAATCTCTTAATGGTCTTGCCATGTATGGACTAGGAATCTTTAAAAATACTTTATTGAAAATTATTTGAACTCATCTCCGATCTAGATTCTAGACGTGCTATTATTTCGGGTGTTATGGAAGCAAAATTTCACCTTTCAACTAAGGGTCAGCAACTTATTCTGTAATTTTTGGACTCTACATTGTAAGATCAACTTAAATTGATTCCAAAAAATATCGTACTCAGTGTCAATAAGTTTTTTGTCATTCTATTTTTCTAGCAATAAAATTACAAGCGGTGCTGAAAAAGCTTTCTTAGATTTCTGAAAATAAAGTTTAAATAAAAGTCGATTACAATTATAAATGTCCATGGGATGTTTTAAGAGCAAGAGCCATTTAGATCATGCAATCCGGTTGCTTGTCCTTTTTGGTTCTCTTTTCCATTTAAATTTAATATTATGAGTCTCAATTTGGTGATATTATTTATTTAATCTGATTAAACAATGTTTTGCAGACTATGACGCGCTTCTGGGTATGGTGGATTCAGTGTCTCTATCCAGCAGTGGCAATAGTTCCACTCAGACTTCAATGCTTATCCGGAGCTCAAACAACGCCACACAAGCAGCCTCATCAGTAAACAGCAACAACCACAACAACAGCAGCAGCTCAGTAGCGAGCGGAAACAGCAGCAAGAAAAAGTAAATTACACATTTTATTATTGTTTTTTTTTGTAGTCGATGAAGGTTGTTCAGACTCTTATGTAGGTCGCGATGATTTTTTTTTTAAATTCTTGAAATTTGTTTAGGCTCAATTTTGCTTTTTCGCGGTTTTTCGTTTGATTTTTTCCAAGTTCAGTTCATTTCCATTGTTAAAAGGAAATTAAACTCCACTCTGAAATAACCAAGGTGTAAAGTTCACGAAAAACGTGATCGACTTCTTGCTTCAAAAGTGGAATTTAATTTTCAGATTTCCCAGCGAATTAAAAAGGTTACCTATTGATCCAGTTTTCTCAAATTGGATAAATTTTTTAATAAAAAATTGTCGAGCATGAATTGTTCTTGCAATTCAAGGAGCTTTAAGAGCATGTTTTTTAATGAAATTTGAGAGTTTTTTCAATAAAAAAGGAAGTACCAGAGTCATAAAAAGGTTTTTTTTATACTTGCGTTCATTGACTTTTTTCCAGCTGTCTGTTGGCTATGATATTAGGCCAGAGTCATGGGTTGTTTTCATTTTGCTTAAAAGAGGTCAAGATTTTTGCAAGAAAATCAGATACAGATGAGGAAACAATGTTCATTTTTGATTTTGATAACTCTTGAACTTTCACTTGATCTGAGACAAAATTCCTTGATTGCTACGGATCTCATAAGGTGGTCTGAAGCAGCCAATAGCAATGTAGATTTTTTTCAATTTCGAAGTATAAGCCATAACCATGAATCATTTGTTTTAGGAACAAGAAAGAGAGCTCAGTTGTCGCGCAATCCGCAGCAGGAACGCCATACAGTCCAAGACGGGCCAAGAACAAAACAGCCCACCATCAAGTCACCAGTTCCAACAATAAAAACAACAACAACAACGCAGTTCCATCGACTCACGCAAAAATGCAGCGTGAAAACTCATCCTCGAGCTCTGCAAATACCCGATCTGGGAAAAATGCAGGGGGCAATTGGAAAAGTAAAAGCAGTGCGAGTAGTCGATCGGTCAGTGGAAGTGGAGTGGGGGGTAATCAGAGTAGTAAGAAGCAAGTCATGGGCAGCAGTCATGGACAGAATAGTATGTGTGGATCTATGGACATCAGTGGGGGACGTGAAGATAAGACACGGTCCGGATCTACCAGTGGAAGTAAAAGGTAAAGTTTTTCACAAAAGAATTTTTTTTTGCAAAAAGTAAGTTTTTTTTAAATTAAATTGGTTTTTGTGGAGGTGAAGAATAATGTCTACTACTTGTAAGTACGCAACTGCTCCTTATTTACCAAAGGAGCAGCACGCAACTGCTCTTTTGCTAAGTAATTGCTTTGCAATTGACTGTTCGAAGACATTTTTCTACTTCCAGTTCTTCGCAATGCCACTCCGACGTTGTCATCTCAAATGGACCCCAAACGTCAACGCCTAGCTCCTCGGCAGGAGGAAGAATCAGTCCGTTTCCATCCACCTTGAAACCCCACCCCTTCAACACAAATATTAGTAACGCAACCAGCAGTCAACACCAACAGTACTACTACAACATGCATTACACTGTATCGAGTGGTAGCTACTCTCGAGGAACTGTATCGACGTTCACGCAGAGTGCGAAGAATCAAGATGCTCAAAACATGAACAAAGTTGCAGTACCACTGAACGTGAACTTGTCCCCCACAAATGGGGAGGTAATGCCGCCGACTAGTGGTAGTAATAGCAGCAGTGGATATCTGTCGGTGACTCCGACTAGAAATGGGTCCAGTAATGTGAGTCCGCGGAAACCGGCGAGACGCGGGGAGGAGGGCTGGAAAGAAGTGACTGTGTCGAGGAAGAGTTTAATGTGAGTCACGTGCCCCTTAAATTTTGTTAAATTTCAGTTCAAAATTTGCAATTCTGCAAACCAAAAGATGCGTTTAAGCTTTTAAGACTTTCTTTTGACTCAAGCCAGTTGGGCTCTTCAGGTATCACCTTGAACTTATGTGATTGATGTTTCAGGTACCCTTTCACATACGAGTTAGATTTCGTTTATCTTTTCGCTCTTCTAATCTGCTAATTCTTTCTATTTCTAGTTCTGTTTAATATTTTAAGTCGCAACGTTTGTTCCTTTAAGTTTTCAGAAGCTTTGTGAAGTTTTAAATTTTATGATGTAATGTTTGACTTCTTAAAATGGAGCTGCTTTCTCGTAACAAACACATGAATAATTGAATCAACGCGTATGAAAAACGTCTTCTCAAAAATAGGTTACTTTAATTTCGATTCAATACAAACGTTATCGCTTATATCTATTGTAAAATCCGTAATTTTGCTTTTAATTTAAGTTTGTATGATATAGTTTTCACCCTTGGTGTAACGAAGTGAGTGAGCGAAATGATTGAGCTTGTTTAGTTCTAAGAAGACAGTAGTTCCTGGAAGTGCCATCAGTCGAGTGATCGGCAGACAGGGCTGCAACATCAACGCCATCCGGGAGGCCACCTGTGCCCACATAGAGATAGACAAGCAGTCTGGCAACGGAGGGGCACACAGTAGTGGTAGTAGCAAGGCAGACAGACAGCTAGAGAGGGAGAGAGAGCGGGGCAATAACAGTGACAGAATCGTCAACATTCGGTCGGTGAAATGCGATTTAGGCAGTTTTTTTAAAATAATTTGACAGCAACGCATCAGGTTTTGTGATTTCCGTAAATTAATTTTTTGTTCTGTTTTTACGCAAGCGGAGTGTGGTTTTAATTTTTTTGTTTTCAGAAAGAGCGATCATAAAAACTTCTGGAAATTCAAGAGATTTAATAGGATTTATTTTTGTCCTTGCTTTTTATTGGTCTCTCTGAGTTCAGTGACCCGCCTCCGACTGTTTTATTTGGCTATGTAAAATCTTATATTAAAAGAAGCTGTTCATAAATTGCATAGATTGTTGCGAAATATTCAAAACTAGCTGAAAGTAGACCGGGAACTGCACTTTGAATCTTTGGTAGACTTTGTGCATCTTCACGAGTTAAATGCAATCATCAGTCTTTGGTTTTTAATGGAAAAAATGTAGCTGAAAAATGGAAGTACTACGTTATTTATGTTATTTGTTAAGAAATGTGGATATTTTTACGTAAATGCCTTTTTGAAAATTTGGCTCAAATTCAAAATGGGATCGGTGATTATAATGAAATGATAATTAATGTATCAGTGAAATGATTCTAGCAATTAGGTAACCAAATTAAAACCAACCTTAAATTTAAGCAGCCATAGGTAATAGATATAATGCGGTAGCAATTACGCGATGGGTTGTGTATTTGCGGAGTTCAAACAAAGTTTTATGGGCTAATATACTACTGAATAAACACGGTATTTCTTAGCTGAATGGTGACGTTTAGTCGAATGGTGTTCGGATGCGTTGCAAATTGCATGTTCTCAGCTTTCTACCCATCCTGTTTTGTGTAAAATTTAAGAGTGCAGTTTGATGCCAAAGTGCACTTTGTGATTCTATTGCGTCTACTTATGAATTTTTTCGTGTTTTTGATTGTATAAGTTTGTAGATATACTTTTTAATTTGATACAGGGGAGGGAGGGGGGGTGTTGATGTTGTTGTTGAAGTAGAACTAAGAGCGTGCAATAGAGCCTGCTCTGGTAGAATAAAAATGTCAACGAGCAATTCAAGTTTCGTGTATGCAATTGTGTAATTAGATGCTTCATTCAGTCCAATTTTGTAAGAATGTGCAAAACTTGGTTGCCTAACTTTAGAAGTGCATTTTTTCTATGAACTATTTTAAGTGAGCTAGGAAATGCAGCTGACAGAAATTAATTCTAGCCAAACAAGAAAAAAATTTAGTGCATTAAAACAAAATTATGCAGAAAAAATGAAGTGCAGAAAATTTGAGATGAAAAAACGACTCGTTACAGCTCGTTTCCATCTTTCTTTTTATACTGAAGAAAAAAAAACGAACGCTACTAGAGAAATTAAAAACAAAATATGAGAGAAATATTTTGAAAAGAGAATATAAGTTGGTTACTACTATATTAGTTTTTTTCCCATCGATAGTGATGTACCTAGTTTTTATCTGAGAAAATTACAAAAATTTGGAACATTTAACAAAACAACTAAAATAAGCTCATTTTTCAATGATTTTATTGATAAATTTGTAGCAGTTTTCGCAAAATTATCTGAGCCGAGCGAGAAAGTGTGATGTGAATTTGCATCTCTCAAAGAATGAAATGATAATTTTCAGTACTAACTGGTTCTTTCCGGATCAAAATATACGAGTTTTGTTCCTTTGATGTAAGGGGCTCACTGTCTGCCAGATTTCAATTTTTTTCTGTTTCAATTCATGAGTCAGACAAAAATATGTTTCCAACGTTTTGTTTTCACACAAGGAATGAAAAGATTTTGTGATCACAAGTTTTCATGTCAATTGTTTAGTTGCGTAACTTTTTTCTCCATTATATGTCCAGTTGTTTCTTTTTACGTTTTATACCGTTTGAAGCCAATCAGCAAGAGATACTTATACTGAAGAAAAAATTAATGCAAACAAATGATTTTCAAAATTCTAAATTAATCACTATGATACCTTATAAACTAGTGGACAAAATTAAATGCAAATTCAGGTTTTTTCGCTCTAAATTATCTCTTCAATAACCATCTTGGAGAACAATTCCTTCGATTTTCAGTAAAACTTTAACATAGACCAAGATCAAATCATCAGAGCTACCCTCTATGAAATTATGAGAATTTGGTTTCACAGACTTACCAATGAAATCTGGGTCGGAAAATTTCAGATTTCTGCATCGTAGTCAACACATTTTTGAATAAGCGGAGTAAAATTGTTTTCCAGCGACGTTAAACTTTCTCAGCGAGAAAATTGAAATAATCAGTGTGAAACTTTTCTTGAACTCGTCATTTCTTAATTATTCACGCGGATTGAAAAATTTAGTGCAGATGACGAAATCTGTTTTTTTTTCAGACCCGGATTAAATTGGTAAGTCTTTGAAAACAAATCTGGATAGTTTCATAGATGGAAATTCTGTGATTTTCTCTCGGTCTATGTAAAAACCAAAGTGGACATTAAAAACAAGCGTTTTAGAGAGTAAAATCGTGAGTTTGCGCTCAATTTTGTCCACCAGAGTAACATTTTTTCATTCGTTATGTGAAAACTACACGTTAACAACACAATTTCCGACTGACTCAATCGAAACAGAAAAAAAATTGGAAATCTGGCTATCAGAAATGGAACATCAGAGGAAATTTTTGTACTTTTATGATCCGGAATATACCAGTAAGTATTTGAAATGTTTGTTTCATTTTTTGAGAAATGCAAATTTTCAATTGTGCTTGTGCGGTTTCAAAAGTTTTTTACAGAAACTGCGAAAGAATAAATGAGCTTTTGTTGATGTTTCTGAATTTTATGCAATATATTATGAGTTTTTCAAAAAAAAAGAATTAGGCAAATTACAACCTCCGGTCAAAAGTTGATATATTTGTTCCTTGTCCATGCAAATGAGATGTAATTATTTTGTTCAGTGGCAGCGCAGAATCTGTTAAATGGGCTGAGAAGCTGATCGACATTCTGATCCAAGACCCGACAGTAGACATAACAGAGCATATTCCGAAGAATCTAGCCCAAACTCTAACCCACTCCAATAACCAGAACCTGAATCCGCAGGGATCCTTATCGTCGGTAAGCTCCTCAGGAGGAGTTATGGGACATTTTACATCCTCTGCGCCGGGTGCTAAAAAAACATCGCAAAACGGTTCTATAGTGGGAGGACATGTCAATAGTTTCGGTCAACCGGTCTCGAGTTCGAACCCGATCCTATCCGGAGCACCATTGACGACAGGAAACTACTCTTCATTCGGGCCGAGTAACAAATCAGGTAGTCAGATGTCGGGAGCTCCAGCAGTTATAGCTATGGAAGCGTCCCGAGGGAACGGAGGAGCTGGGAAGACTCATTACCCGTCAGTTGGAGTTATTGGTAGCAGGCCGGTCGGATCGAGATCTTCGTTTTCCCAGGGTTCCAGCCAGAACAAAAATCAGACTGCGTGGAAAACGGGAGACGGAAGTATGGAGAATAATGCCGGAAATTACAATGCGTTCAGCTCAATTTTTAACCAAGGCTCGGCAGCTAAGATTTGGCAGGGATATCTGGACTCGAATGTGGAAACAGGAGATGGAAGGGGTTATGGCGGATTTCAAGGACAGTTTGACAGCAGAGGGCATCATTCAGGTGAAGATTCGTGGGTCTAGAATAGATTTATATTAAATTTCGGCCGAGGCTATTAATTTATAGAACATTTTAACGGGCGAGTAATTTATTTAGAAGTAAATAAGAAAATGTGCCACGGTAGCAGTTCCAGCAAATCAATGTTTTTGCCAAGAAGTTTTTTCCATTAAAGATCGAAGCAGGTTTTTCAGGTAGCACGGGCAGTTCATCTGAGAAAATAAACTCTGAATCTAAACATTCTGGAAAAGAAACTGTTGAAGCAGGTTTGAGAAAACATATTTTCGGAACTTAAGATGTATTTACTTGCGCTATAAGTTGAGTCAAAAAGGCGAAAATGTTTTTTTTGGGGGATTATATTGACTTGCCGTTCATTGAGACACCCTGGCTGGTCACCCTGATTTATTCGTGCCATGTATATCATAGTGATAACTATTAATGTCCATTTTTTAGCGACGAAGTTCAAGTCTAAACTCATATCTTGACTGGCGTTTAATCATTAATTGTTTAAATAATCTAAGTTTTGCTTGTTTATGGAAACCTGATTTTAGACTGCTTCGGAAGTTTTCTGCAGCATGGTTTAAATGTTTTATTTTGAATGTGTAGATTCGAATCTGAAATCATCTGATTCGCGTATGACTTCATCTGCAGTGGGCGGTCCATCGAGTAGTAACAAACAACAGTCGAGTAACAACTCACAACCAGGCAGTTTAGTGGGAGGATCCAATATGAGTCACTCTGTCAACATACCATTGGACACTTTGTTCAACAACAATAGCAGTCTAAACCCCCCAGAATCGGACCCCTCGTCTCTCTTTTCTTCCGTTAACTCTCAGTCACCTGAATCAAGTCAGTCAATGACTGCATTGTCCAATAACCCAACTGGGCCAGCTAGCCTAAATGTCAGTTTGAACTATCCGAACACAACGCCGACCGGACGTCCCGAGAAGTCGAGGAACCCGTCAGGTAATTCAGTTCACGCCGCAGGCGATGTCGCATCACCGAAGGTGTCACCGCCTCTATCGTCAAGTCAGGCGTCGACAAGTCAGTCGCAATCCGCACCAGGTGGACACGTGGTGTCCTATAACTCTGGTGCCCAAAAAGACATTTCGGCCTCGAGTTCCGGTCTGTTAAGTGACTCGTCGGCTCATATTCCGACTTCTCAGAATCAACCTGGAGGTCAGCAGAGTTCGGTTGGAAGTGAAAAGAAACATGGACCTGCCCCGATTGGGTTTGAAAGAAAGGCGCCAGCGGCTAAGTCTGCACACGGAGGTGGAATTCAGTCGCAAGGAAACCTGGGTTAGAAATTTAAATAGGCGGTTGAAGTACGAACGAATATAATCAGGTCTCGGAAAACTTCAGTTTAATTGCTCCTAAAGTTTTTCATTATTAGCGTATGGTAATACAAAATCAGATTAAATATTTTTGTTCATTGTTGATCACTTCTCAAAATTTTAAAGAAATCCGTAATTTTTGATATGATTGAGTTTTAATCAATTATATTCCAAATGTTAATAACACAATGCTGAAGTCATTTTTGAAATCAATGCTAGGTTTCTCTGGGCTGACATCAGGAAACAACCAACACTTAGGCCCAATGTATAGCAGTCTGGAGTCGAATCACACACCTGACTTGTTCAATTCGTTCTCAAATTTCAACATGGACAAAAGCAGCCAGCAATTTTTGAACTCTTTCACTACCCCACATGCACAGAATCCTATGACACAACCATCGCAACAACAGCACCACCAGTTACCCAATTTCTATAACCAGCACCCATCTAATGCACCTTCATTCTACCCCCAACCCTCGTCAGGCGTTCAACCCTCAAACGACCTCCAACAGAATCCGTCAGTGTCGATGGGTGGGGGTCAACAACAACAGATGAGTAATGTGGATCCGACAGCTGTTGGGGGAATGGGTGGGGGCATGATGAGGCACGAAGGGGGAGCGGGGAATATGTCTGCTGGGGTTTCGGGAGTGCAGGGAGGGGGAGGGGCTTCGATGCATAGTCACTCTATTCAGAATATGTACTCATCGCAGCAAAATATGAACGTAAGTTCAACATTGGGTTTTTTGGAGTAGTGATAGTATGTTGAATTCAAGTTAATAAGGATTCAGTGCAGTCGAAAGAAAAAACGAATAAAAAAGTGATTTGTCAAAATTATAAAAATTGGTCCTAATTTATTATAGTAATAGACCAAAGAGGTGAAAGTGTTATTATTCGAATAACGTACTCAAAGGCTGAAAGCAATCGACGTGTATTTAGTTTTTCAAGTAACATGAATTTTCCAGGGTAATTTATCTGTCTCGCAGCAAATGGTCGCCTCTGGAAACTCACAACACATGGGTGCACTGGCCCCTGGATCCATGAACCAGTTCCGGGTCAACCCAAATCAGTTCTTCAATCCTATCAACCCACAGTCTGGCAACCTATCCCAGCAGCAAATGCTCCCAAGTCACCACTCTGCAATGAGCAACCCAAACGGACCCCAACCTAGTATGGTAAACCCAATGGGATCCATGCATAACGGGGGGTTCCTTCCCTTTGGTGCTTCGAATGGGAACAGCAGCAACATGAACATGAACAACGCACTGGGTCTGAATTCGGCCTCAAGTGGCCGCGGTGATCTGCAGTCGTATGCAGCGGGAGCACAGGGGGGTTTTGCGCCCTTTCTCTCGAACGGAGTGGGCATGGATTGTGACAGAGGAGTGATGATGGACGAGAGGTCTCTGAATTTGAACTTGGCTGCCCAACATCAGTTTGCTCACAATGGAGCAGACACGGTGAGAACATTCAGTGTTAAACTGGAACTGTATTTTTATGCTTGTGTGTGTCTGTGGTGAGTTGGTTATTCTTCAAAATCAGTTCTCCAATTAGTATTGAAAAAACAATTCAGAGGTTTTCATTTCTGTGGTTGGGCAGCAATCAGCAAGTCTGTGGTTTGAGTTTCGTAGGTGGCTAAATTTTTTTGTTTTTCAAAGTTTATTTTTGTTCCGACCTTTTCTCGAAGTGGATAGGAACAAGGTCTTGTTCGTTTTTGTTTTGGAAAAAATCTTAAATTTTGTTCGCGCTCAAAAATTGATTTTAGTAGTTTGACTTTTGATTTCTTTTTCAGTTGTAGTTTTATATTTAAGTCCTTTCATCTATGATTTGGATTTCTAAAACTATAACAAAATTTGTCTCAGCGTCGAAAAAAAATTGATATGAACTTTTCGATTATCAGAATAATTTGATGATACTAAATTTATCACTCTGAATATCAGCTCTGTTTAGTTTTAGTTCATTTTTCACCTTATTTTGGATATTATTGCGTCTCATTCGTGCAATTTTTAATCTTATTCAATTACCCTAATTTTTTCTATGACTTATGGAATCTTTTTCTATGTTCGAATGTTTATATTAACTGTTAGTGATTACACGTGCGGAGCGTAGTGTGAGAGTACATTGCAATTTCTTTCCAATCTAAGTCGCAAATGAAAGTGCTACTTTTGCTGGCATTTTGAATCAGTAGGCTGCATTTGCATTATAGTACCATGTGCTTTGAATTTTGATTAGTAATAAGTTAATGCAGTGGATGGTTTTGTATTTTATCAATAGAACAAAAAAAACAGCTGTTTCATGCAGCAGTATAATAATTACGCTTGCGATTAGCAAGCGTTATCAAATCGGAATATAGACTTTTCGTCGGGTCAACAACCTCTTCGCGTTATCAGAATCACTTGATCTCTTGGCTTATGATGAATTGAAATTTGTTAGTATCTGCGGCACATTTAGTCTGGAGGTAACGAATACGCCTGGGACGGCAAAGGTCCTGTTTTAAATCTGACCAGGTCCTGTTTTTTTTTGTTCAAACGGGAAATATTCCGTTTAAAAAAATTGTCGGCTTGTTTTTCGTCTGCTTATATTTTTTCGGCTTTGTTGTTACATCTTCCATTTTTTTGCTGCATGAGTTGCTTTTATGTTTTCGTTGCAGTAGCTTTTCTGTGTTTTCATTTACTCCTGCAGTTTGTATTTCTACTAGCCTTGACTTCGTATATTTCCTTATTTTTGCTTAGAAAGTTTTTCTGTCTAAATGATTTTGGCTTATATTTCATCGGCCGGCTAACTAACCTAATTTTGGGTCGTTCGAGGGAACCATAATTTATATGTTTTCCTCCGGATCGCACAAAACTCAGAACCGAATTTATAAATCTCAGAATAGAATTTATGGTTCGAAGTTTTTCATGACCACATTTTTTTGCTCGAAAATTGTTTTTGATTTTTCATTAAATGCCGTCGAATATGTTTCTGGACGTGTCTGCCGCAAATAGAACATCATTCCAGCAAAATTTTGAAGCTTTTTATATGTAGTTTCTTCGAAATTTTTTCCGTTTTGCTTGGTTTTAGTGGCTCTTTTCTTTCCTCTCTGGTAGCTTGCAATGCTTTTTTTTTGCTGTATTTCAAGTAATGCGAATCTCAGCTTCGCCTCTGTGTTAAAATTTGCCACGTCAGAAATTTACTTCTTGAGATTTTTGAAATGCTTATTTTACACGCAATTTGGTGTGATAATTTATTCCATGCAAAATTTAAGTTTTTGTGCATTTTAAAGCGCTTGAATTTTTGCGGCTGTCTCGGTCGTGGCTGCGAAGTTGCAGCTTGCCTCTGTGTCTGAACATTCAGTGCTACTTGCATAGCAACCGGCTTTTCTGTTAAATGTGAGCGAGTAGTGAATTGGGCGAGTAGTTTTTTCTTTTTAATTTCAGTTCTTTTCCTTTGTTAAAAGGAAGGAGTTTCCTTTATCGGACAGCAAAAGTGTTTTTGTCACGAAAAAAATGATCGACTTTTAAGTTCGAAAGTGATATTTAATTTGCAGACTTTCCAGCGAAATACAAAAAATTTGTTTCTTTTGATCCAGTTTTCTTAAATTATGTCATATTTATCCAAAAAACTGCTAATCATAGTTTGTTCTAGAAATTCAATTAGTCAGTTTTTTTTCTGTTTAGTTGCCTTTACCGACTCTTTTCCAGCTGTCTGTTGGCTATGTTTATGTATTTTGTTCGTGTTTTTTTTTTCAGGAAAGCTCTAATGGAGCAAAAAACGCGAGTGAATTCTGGTTCCAAAAATGGATTGTTGTTACATTTGCGGAAAATTTCCAAAAAATGCGACTGAAATTTGGTTCCAAAAATGGATTATAAATACACTTGCGAGAACAAGCGTCTTGCAACCGGGAACTAGTGCAAGTGTCTTGTAATCGGGAACTAGACTTGTTTTTCATTAAGAAACTTTTACAAATCTTATTTGCTTTTCTTTCTTGCTTTAGTCTTGAAGCTTAATAACTACCAGACTCGATCCCACTTGGCCTAGAGGTAACGTCGTTGCTTTTGCACCCTAAGGTCAGGGGCTCGAGGCTCGTTTAGTTTCTATTAGGCGTGAGTTATATCTGCTTAAATTAAACGCGTTCAATGTTGCGCAGCATTAGTGGCGCAGTAAGTTGATGGAGAAGTTGCTTAGTGCATGTAGTTCGTATTATGTGGAGTGCGATTAAAATGCCTTTCCAATACTTAAAAGTTGGAAAAATTTGATTGTTTTTCACCGTTTTTGTTGAATATTTTTGAAGTGAAGCTTTTGGGATTTGTATCGTCTTTGTTTTTTTTGTATCGCTGGTGGATGAAGGTTCCGCTTCGTCTTGGTGTTTAGAACAAGCTTTTAGACTTATTTACTGTGAACATTCGAAACGTTGCTACTAAAATTGTACTTTTATAATAAAAAACATTCTGTAATGTGCTCGATTCGTAAACGAATTTATTACTATTATCATCATTAGAAACGGCTATGACTGATCAACAAAAGATGCATCTGGTAAGTAAAGAGGTGGAGACGTTGTTTCAGAATTTAACTAATTGTTGTCTTCTGTTTCAGATGTTCTCGTGGGGCCAATCAGGTGTAGGCAACGGCGACTATAACCAAATGTAATCAGCCGAAGAGAAATCGACCCACGAATTTACTACCTACCACCCTCGACACTCTGCTGATATGTTTCCTATTACACGCGAGAACACCTATAACGATATATTACTACCCCCACTCTTGAATAAAATCAGGAGACACGATACAACCATTTCCCTTCTAAACGAATAAAAACATGACTGGTTACAAAATTATGCAAACGTGACAATATAGAAGAAAGCGTCTTTCAAACGTAGAAGAAAGCAGCACGCTTCGAAACTGAACCCACCCAAACTCAAACCCAAATTGTGTACTACTGGTGAAAAGAAAGCAAGAGAGCAGAAGAAAAGAGTAAAGAGATAGTTTGAGGAGTGTATTGGTAGTGCATTTGATAAACTATAGATTGATAAGCAACTTGCATTTAACCTGGTTTCTGATCTGAACAACTGAAATAGTCTGCTGGTACCGATGATTCTTATATGCTATGATGGAACAATTACGTTAATAATCCAATTATTGTAATAAAATTTTTTCGTTCTGAACTGAGTTTTTAGCCTAAATTTTACAAACCAAAGTTAGATCCCAAAAAATAAAAATATCCGAAATTAAATTTTGGTCTGGGATCTTTTTAGCACTATTCCCACCCTCCCGCGTGCCAAGAAGAATTCCATAAATGTCTAAATTTTGAACATGCCAAACCGTTCGATAAATTTGAAGTCGGAGATTTACTAGGTACCATACGAGCATAAGGTTCAACAGGCCGTAAACGTTATTGATAGCGAACATATCGGGCGTAAGGTTTTAATTTAATTGGAGCTGACAAACCAGATTTTTTTCCTTAAAAGCAGGCTTCTTAGTTTCGGGGGAAGCAAGTGTTTCGTGTAATCCGTAGCGAGTCATTTTCCTGTAAATAGCGTTTTTGAAGTTGAATCGCGGAAGTCAATTGCTTAAATTAAGTAAGCTGGATAAATAAGCAGCTTTAAATACAATTTAGCGTTTCACAACACAACAGCTAATTGCATGGAGATTGACATAGTAATTTGTGACTCCGAGTTAAATGGGTATAAAAAGTTCGAATTATAATTTTTACTGAAGTAAGTTAAACTAACTGCCAAGCATTAGAGGGCCTGTAAACGGTGTGAACAATTCTTGACTTATGACGTCTCGTCCTGTAGCAATCTTACTATCCTCGATAACCTTATCAACTTAGCATGTAGAAATTTCACTTATTCATTTTCTACTCACTTCGGAGAAAAAAAGTTCTCAGCAGATGACAACCAACTATCCGCTATCTACGTATTACTTTTTCTTTATATCATGACTAGATTGATATCATTCAGTTCAAGTTTTTTATAAGAGTCGATGAACTATGTTCAGACTCTTATTTAGGAGCTGTGTTTTTCTTTGAAGGAACAGTCTTAAAAGTTTACTCCGGCACAAATGTGTTTTTTTTCGCAGTTTGACTTTTTCCCTTAAAGTTCATTATTTCCTTTGTTAGAATGGGGAAATCGATCAGCAAAAGTGTTACGGTCACGAACAAACTTGATCGACATCCAGTTGTAAAAAAGAAATTTAATTATCAGATTTCCCAGTGAATAAAAAAAATGTGTCTTTATGCAGTATTCTCAATTGGTTCTAAAAATTCAAATAACTTGAAGGACATAGTTTTATTTTAAAATTCGATAAGTGTTTTTTTTAAATAATTTTTTCTGTTAGCTTTTGTTTATTGGTTCTTTTCCAGCTGGCTTTTGGCTATGGTTCTTACCTTGAAATTGCTACTAGCAAGGATTTCTTTAAGTGTGGGATGTCTTCTTGGCTTTTGATTTTTCCGAACTGAAAGTTTTACCATGATCTTGCTGTTAATGAAATAATGTTTAGCCAAAAAAAAAATATTCAAAAACAGTTCATAAAGTTGAAGAGTTACACAGAGTTAATCAAAACATAAGCGCTTTAGCATGGTGGCAAGTGTTGCCTGTTTTCAAGCTACCTACTTTGAGCAGATGCAAGCAGACGAGACGTGTAATCTGGTCGGAGGTTTAGTTCCTGATTTTTTCTATCTAGAATTTGTTCTCCTCATAACTGAAACTGTACTTTTCTATCTACAAAAATGTCAATCGTAAAAGTTCTTGAAACTCAAAGAGCTCTATAGTGGTAATTTTTCTCTTTAAAAATTATTTTTTTTTGCAGAGGTGAAGCGGAGTTTTGCACCACTTTTGATACAACACACATTAAAAAAACATAAGTCGAAAAAAAGTTAAGATGTTGAAAAAAAACTAGGTGCGCCAAATTTTTTTAAAGTTTTGATTAAAAAAAAACAATTAAAGACCCAACTGAAGTTGGGGGTACGTGTTTATTGCGGCACGAAAAGTAGGATTTCAAAAATTGGGCTTTGATAAAATCATTAGTTGTTTCTCTACTATAATAAGTTTGAAGAGTAAGAAAGTTAGAAACAATCAATTTTCACAAGGAGATAACTTTTTTGTAACAAAAGTTTAGGGAATTGCTGCTTCTGCAGGAAAATTTATTGCATCTCGTTCTTTCAAAAGCTTTTTAAACCATGAATTGATTGTGTAAATTTTGAGAAAAATCAAAAAATTTCTGAAAAACGGTCGAAAGATCTAACAAACGTTCAAAAGACTTTTCCAAAGCCATGAATTTTTTCTGCAAACAGCAGGTTCTGGCCGCTCAAGAAGAGAAGATTTCCAAAGCCGGGTTTCTCGATTGAACACAACCTGAAAATTTGCCCGGTAGTTTTCGCGTAAAATTATTAAGTTTCCAAAAAAAAATCGTCCATTTCAAAACTTAGATTTTTTTGCAGGCAATAATATTTTTAAAAAATAAACTGGGCCTTGCTTATTTGAAAGGTAGGTTTTCGGCAACCTGTTCAATTGATTAATCTTATAATACCAGATTTAGCAGGATAGTCAGCAAGAAAGTAGAAAACGGTTAACGCATCAAAAATTTGACAATACCGATAATCATGGTTTTTTTTGTGAAAAAATTATACAGAAACGTTATTCAGAAGGGATTCACGCAATCTTAAAATTCGTTTAACCCAAAACTTCAGGTTTGGCAGGGTAATTTTCGAGAAAAGTCAAAAATTTTACTAAAGAACGGTCAAAATCAAAACTTTTATTTTTCCGAGCGGCAAAACTTTTGGAGTCAAAAAATTTGTGCGTAGTCGCATAAATAAAGGAAGTTCACGAAACGCGTTTTGAGAATGAATCCTAAAATCTCAGGTATTGCAGGGTTGTTTTTGAGAATATTCAAAAAATTTAAACTACGGTAAAAAAATCAAAAGTTAGACTTTTCAGAGTGCAATAATTTCTTTTATAAAACTTTATGTTAGTGTCCGCTAATGCAGAGGAGCTTCCCATTGCCTGTTATCTCATTGAACTCACAATATCAGTTTGAGAAGTTAGTTTTCAAGAAAATTCACAAGATCCACATAACCGTCAAAAATCAAAAACTTGACTTTTCCGAGGGCCATAACTTTATGTGTAAAACAAATTGATCTTAGCCAGTTATGCAAGGGAATTTTTCTAAACAGTTCTATCCATTAAAACCAAAAACTCATATTTGAGAGATAGTTTCCGAAAAACGAAAAAAAAATTCAGGTCAAATTTTCCCCCACACTTTTTCGAAGGCTGTAGACAGAGGGGTCAATGATAAAAAACTCTAGGAGAGCATGCAGGCACACAAAGGAACAAGCGGTCTTTCAAATGATAATTTTTTTTGAAAATAAGAAGTTTTTGAGAAAAAATAAAGTTTGTCCAAAAATTTTTTAAAATATTCCAAATTTAAAAAAAATTGAAATTTAAGCAAACAGATTGGTAAAAATACAACCAACGTGAAAAGGGCAAAGGAAAGTCTCAAAATGGTTTCTCCTTGAAACGACAAAAAAACTAGATCATTGAACCAACAAATAAATGCCGAATTAAATTGCGCCGAGGATTTTTTTGTGCAAAAAAAAATAAAGAAGGAAATATGAAGTCCGGGTGAGTAAAATTACAAAATCTATGCGTAAATCAAACACTAAGGAGATCATTAAAAAATGGGCGTAGAAAAAAAATTATTCCAAGATGGGACAGCTAAGCCGACAAAAGATAGGCAGAAAAATAACTGGCCGTCAATTTTTTTTAAACTGAACATTTCCGTTTGAAAAAAAAGGTCCTGGTCAAACTCAAACCCAGGACCTTTATCGACCCAGGCACGTTCGTTACCTCCAGGCTAAGTTGGCCAGGAACGCTACGAAAATTGAATACCTTATGAAACAAGCTAGAGATGAGTCCAGATGAGTCCTGTGGACAAAGTTGTTTTCGGGAAGAGAAATCTAGTACCCGGTTGCAGTACCCTTGCTTATCGCACGCAAGGGTAATAGTGCACGTTAAAATAAATTATTATGATTGTTTTTTCTTGCATTATTTTAGTTTAATTATTAAGCGTCTGGCGCATCTGGTGTAGAAGTAACAAAACTGCTTGAGAGGGAAATTGGATCGAATCCCGCCGGCACCTGTTTTTTTTGGAAACAAGAATTTCGTTTTTTTTTCGTACAATCGCCGTCTGTTGACTTTTGTGACCTTATTTTCGCAAACTGATTGTTTTCAGTTACTTGAGATTACTGACTCTCAACTTATTTTTGCCGGCTTAGTTCTGGCAAAAATGACTTTTTTGAAAAATTTGAAAGTATTCCAAAAGCTCCTTGTAAAGTTTTTGATGATGCGGGTAGTTTCGTTTGGGATTTATTTGGGCTTTTTTGCAATTTTTGTTATACTATTTTTGAGATTTTTTGCTTTATTTGAAGATTTTTGTTTAATTATTTTTGATTTTTTCGTTTGATTTAATTTCAGTCATACTCGATCATTTGTGTATCACAAGTGGTGTGAAGATCAGCTTCGCCTCTGTATACAACAGTCTGTTGAGTATGTTTCTACCAGCGATAGTCAACATTTTACTCACAATATGTTGGCAACAAACAAAACTATTCGGTGTTGAAGGGTCGTTGCGAGTTTTTGAAGATTTTTTTCTTTCAATTTTCGGTTTTTTCTTTTCATTTGGGTTCAATCATAGCCATTTTGTTTCGTATCCCAGCCATTCTTTTTTGTATCCCAAGTGGTTAGAATTTTTTGCTCACATTTGGTTGAAAAATATTGATGTACCTCAAGAAAAAAAGTATTAAATTTTTAATGATGCAAAAAAAATCATTTAAAAAACAGTTCATTAAATTCAAGAGTAAAAAAGTGTTGATCAAAACACAAGCGCGTTAGCATGCATAGTTGTGTTTTTTCTGATGCACCTTTTTTTTCTAAACCTCCTTGCAAATAAAAGTTCTCGTTTTGATACTATTTTGCTTCAAAACATTGAAAAATTAACAATTTCTCTACGTGTTTTATTGGTGGCTATTGTCAGCTTGTTTTAAAGCTACCATCGATCAGATCAGATGCGAGGAGCTTAGACTAATAGTGTCTAGTCCGATGTTTCGATTTGATGTTTCGATTTGAAGTTTGATTTCTCTTGCTGTCGTTGTTTTTTTAAATTGCTTTTTTTCAGAGCTTTTTTCTACGGTGTCTTCTTTGTGTTTGCGAACTGCAGCTTCGTCTTTGTGCAAGCACTGCGACGTAAGGGTGAGGGAAAAGGGAGAAATCGATCAAACTATTGAAGACCGTACCAGAATTTGTTTGATGCACAAAGTCAATAACAGACATAGTTTGACTAATCAACTTGGCAGTGGACATCGATGAACCAACCTTTGTCACCCAGCTATAGATCATTTGATCAAGGTTCTCATAGATCTGAAAAAACAAACGCAATCAATTGCGGACTTTTTTCGACTCACAAAATGGAGAGAATACAACAGTCGACTCATAAGTTGAATACATAAATTGAACAACTGATCCCTAGATATCGATGAGCGCGTCGATGAGTTCTAGCTTAAAAAGAAAATCATTGATATGCAAAGAAACAAGAAAATCATAAAAAAGTTATTCAAAATCTTCGTTTTGTTTCCTCTTCTAATGTTGTAATGTTTACATCTGTTTACAATATATTTACAATTTTTTGCAACAGCTGGAGTTTGCACAGTTTTTTCATAAATCTGTTTATCTGCTTTTCTGTTGGCAACTGATAACAAAATAATTTAATCTATCTCAAGTTTTCACAATAATTTTTTTGTTTTTTCTTACTCTTTCTTTTATACTATTATATTGGAGTTTTTTACAACCCAAGAAAACCTTATGTGCTATTAAGTATGGTTATCATTTGCCATTTTGTTCAAATTAATTTGAATCTGTTCAGCTGTTTGTTCACACATCCAGATTATTCCATGCGTTGATATTTGCCAGCCACTGTCTTCTCTTCATCAGACGTTTGAGTCTGCTTAGCCTGGTATTTCGGTGGATCTGGATGCAGGTGCTCTCCTGCAGTCGGTTCTGGAGGGTAGGTGTAGTTTAAGGGGATCAGTCCAGCCATGGTTCCGCCCGCTCCTCGCTGCCAGTGACTTAGTTCTCGTTTCTTCTTTTCTGAAATCAACTTGTAATTTAGATATTTTTTTCGGGATGCCACATGACATACTTAAGGTTCTAAAAATAAAGTGAAAACCCATTTTCCCGAAAAGTACTAGAAAAATGTGGGTTTTTGAGAGATCGTTTAGAAGCAACACAGGGCCAAAAAAAGATTTATTTTTTAAACGTCAATTTTTTCGGTATCTATGTACTATATTCCCTTATACTCTGAATTTCACTTGGAAAATTGATAGCAAACTGGTTGAATCTCATAATTTCTATCCTGATTTTTTAGCTTTAGTTTTCCAAAACTCCATCTTCATATTTGAAAATTTCCGCCATAGTAAATTCCGCCATAGAAAACTCTAGAAATGTTCCCGGATTGCAAAAAGCTGCCTAGCAAAACAAATTTTTCTGTGAATATCTCCAGTGAGCACTGAGACAAGATTGGCAAAACGGCCGTCGCAGTCATACTACAGCGCTGATTTAAATTAGGCGGACAAAACTAGTAACAATGAACAACTTGACATTGGGGTACAATTTATACGGTTTAATTTTATATAAAGTTTTTGAATGTCTGGCCACCAGTCTCTCTTCTAATCACTGTTCTTTCTACGTCTGGAGACGCCTGAAATAACATGTGCAGTTTGCTTTCAATTTGATATAATACAGTTGATCTTTACCATAATTTACTTTCTCAACATTTTACTCTTTTTCCTACTTCAACATAGCGCAGTCAGCAGATAAAAAGCGGGGGGAGAGCCCATTGAACATTGTTTCCTTTTGGGATTCTATAACACTGTACCCACGACTTACTGGGTGGAATGGATTGTGAAAATCCATGGGGTGATGATAGCGAATTACGAAATTGATCCTGACGACTTCTACTTCGCTGCCACGCTAACAGCTCCCCAAGTCCCCGCATTGCCGGTGGACGTGAATAGAAGAAACTTAGTTCGAATCTTTATCTTTGTATTGGAGACAAAGCGCAGCGGATTTTTCAAGCCAGGCAATCTGGAGTGGACATAAAATCGTCGAGTGTTGGACTACATGGGTTTTTAAAAGCGTTTTTAAAAGTGAACGTAACGTGACGCACGAAGGGGGTTTTGTTTTATGGACGCAAACAACGAGAGCACGAAACGTTCAAAAGGTTCCACTTGGAACTCAGCGCCCTGGTGGGACGGTGCAATTTCACAAATGCGGCGGAAAGTGTATGAGATATAATTATTATGAACATGAAAGAATAGGATTGCCAGCAGGAGTTATCGGGTTCAGCAAAAACGCCGGAAGAAGTGAATAGGATTGCCTATGAACGAGGGAATAGAGAGTACAAGTCGTACACGGGAAAGCCAGCGGCATCAGCGCCATATATCAACATCAAGTTGGAGCCATTGAGGAAATATTCGACGGGGAACAGGTTATTTCCGAAACCGAGGGCGAAGCGGACGCCGAAACGGACCAAGGGGGTCAAACCCGAAAAAAATGCTACAATTGCGATGTTCCTAATTTTACGTTTGAACATTTAAGTTTTTGCCCAACAAAAAATGCTACTTGAAATGCATGCAGAAAAGTAGGAGATTTCGGAAGGATATGCTGTGGGACATGTCGGGAACTAACCATTGAAGAGGAAGAGGACAAGTTGGAATGGTGCAGGAAGAGCAAGAACACCACCGGAGCAAGCTAAGTATGGAAAGCAATAACCAAGAACAACCGGTTGGATGGGTGATTCATGAGATTGATGGAGAATACGGTTCGTCCACTGCGTGCAGCAAATATTTGATAATGGCGATAAAACGTAAGCAGAGAGTAAACGAAATCAAAATTCAAAACGCTAGAGTCCTGGCCAAAATGTGTGGCAAAAACAAGTGGTTGTGGGTTGACAGTGGCTCTCCGATTACTATCTTTAGCTTGCCAGAAGTAATACGAGCCATGGGAAGAGCCAATATCCATTTAATTCCAGAAAGGAATGAATTCTTGGGTTGAAACAACAATCGAATCCATATGCTTGGAAAAGCTCAAGCAACGATTGAGCTCAATGGTTGGGTCACTCATCAGAAGATCTCAATTATTGCAGGAAACCACTCATCAATCTTAGGGGGCAATTTGATGCGTTTACTGGAACTGGAGCTGGTCCAGAGGGATCGAGTGATGACAGTGACGGAGGACAACACAAATGCCGGGAGGAGCTTGAGTTGGATGAGTGGCAACCAGACTTCTGTAAGTTGTTTCCAAAGTTGTTTTCTAGAATAGGACATATACGAAAAGCCAAAGTACGGGCAGATTTCTTCGACATACTAAGAACAGTGCAACTGAAAAAAAACGGAGAGTGCCCATTAGTCTACAGGATAAAGTAGAGAGGGAAATAACGCGTCTAATTCAGGCGGGACGTATCGTAAAACTCGAAGAACGTTCGGATAAACATTCCGTGTCCCCAATCGTAATCACTGTGAAAAAGGATGGGAGTTTAAAACTTGCTTTTGAATCAAGAGAATTAAATAAGCAGGTTCACAAGAACAAGTATCAAATTCCCAATATAGAAGAATTATTGGACGGAATAAGCCGAATAATTGGTAAAAGAAAATACGGGGAAGTCTATTTTACAACTCTCGGTTTAACGTACCTGTACGGGCAAGTAGATCTCGAAACAAAAACAAGCGAACACTGTAACTTCTCATTAGTGGGGGGAAAGTCTACTGGTTTTTTTAGCTTTCAGAATGGACTTACAACGACGCCCGCGGAGGTTCAAAAATCATGGGTACCCTAACAAAGGAGGTCCCACAGGCAAAAGGAACCCAAATGAACACATTTTTTTTGTACAGAAAATTCCAAGAAATTCGACGTTGCAAAAGCGTCATGAAAACTTTGGAAGGCGAATTCGCAAAATCAAGTTGCGAATGGCTGGAACACGAAAAAATCTTTACCGAAATTACACCAATAATCCGAAAAACAAAAGCGATAGATGAATTGAAAGCTTCGGGGACCAGAAAACAGTTAAAACTGCTAATGAGTTCCCTGGATAGCTTACGCAAGTTCCTACCAAACCTTGCAGAAATTAACGAACCGTTAAAACAACTTCTAAGCCAAAATAACGAATTCATTTTGAAAAACGAATGCGAGGCGGCATTCGATTCTTTTAAGCGATTAGTGGCAAACAAAACTGAGCTTAAACTTTTCGAGATACACCGGGGAACGCGAATTGTGTGCGATGCAAGTCACTATGGCCTAGGCGCAATGTTGAAACAGAACATCCAAGATGATTTGCAACCTATATCATTTCCGTCAAGATATCTTAACGCATCACTAGCCGTCGTATGGGCGCAAGAACTTTACAGAAATTACGTTTACGGACGTTTTATACAGTCATCTCAGATCACAAAGTATTACTTATGCTACTAATTTCTTCGCCCAATGGTAATAAAAAGTTTTTCAGTAGATAAATACAATGATACGACAGATTTATGCTTTATGATTTTAAAATAGAACATCTCTACGGCTCAAAAATTTGGATGGTAGATTATTCCTATATCAATTTTAGTTTAGTATATCAAGATACCCCTCGTCGGATGCGCCCCCTAAAAGTCAAACTGACTCTACAATTACAGTTGCATAGAAAAACATGATAAATAAAGTGTTAAAACCGCCAACGGAAATCATAAAAAGTATAAAAAGTCAAAAATAAGGATATTTCCCGAACACACGCGCCAAAAGGGAGCGATAGAGCGCAGAAAAACATGAAACTACGTTACAGCCAAGGGTAGCACAAATTTCCGTTAATATGCAAATACATCAAGTAAACAAAGCGAGCCAGCTGAGGGCATGAATTCATGCGAGCAAACTTTAGCCAATGGCAGAAATGATTTTTGCATATCGCGTAATGTTTGCACGAGTGGAAAACGGAGAAACAGACTTCGTTCTCAAGATCTAAAAGCAAGTTACTCATTTTCTTTTCTGTGCGTCAATTTTTTGAATAACTCAAACTGCAACGATATGGCCCAAACTTTTTTTAACTTCAACACCAGATAAGCCGGATAAAAAAGAGCAATAATAAATGCCTCAATTCAGTCAGGAAACGTTAACCTCACTTAAGTCTTAAATCACCTTTCTAATGCAGTCTCAATACTGGGCTCAAGCAGCTCCGATTCAGATATTGAAGTAATCCCCAGGAAGAACTGCCTCAACATTCTACAACATTCAAGAAATTCAACATGACAATTTCGTTTCCCTCTAAATTCTCCGCTCTCTCATAACCACTCATAAACACCGACAAGTGGATAGATTCAGTGATATCAACGGACAGCAAGGTGGTGCGGAGAGTGGAACACCCAGGCGTACTTTTTCTAAAAACGGTGGGGCGAACATCAAGAAGGATCCAATTCTGAAGATCATTAGGGATGCAATCAGAGACAAAAACCGGAAAGCGAAGTAAATAATCACAAATCTAGACAGTATTATGGACAACTTTTTACTTTTCACAGACTTCGCGGTCCTAGAAAACTGCCTGTGGATGGACGCGAAACTGTAATACCGAAGGCGCTGGCGACCCTGATATTTAACCGACTACACTACTACCACCATGGCTGCGACAAAATGTATACCGCCTCCAAGGACATCTGGTTGCCCATGATGCACAGAAATTCGGCATCGTCGGCCAAATTTTGCAAGGACTGCTTAGAAGCACGGAAAAATCTGGAACCAGATATAGCCAGGGCTAATCTTGAAAAAACGTATGTAACAACGGAACCCAACGAGGTAGTGCAATTGGAACGTTGGGGGCCAGTTAGCTACATAAAAGGAAGAAAAAAATACGCCCTTATAGCCGTCGATGTATTTTCTCACTGGCCTTTGACCTCTGTCTGCTCTAAATTCCTGAAAAATTATATAGCCACTAACGGACACCGTAGAAAACTTCACATGCACCAAGCCTCTGGGTTCTTCTCCAAAAAACACAAAAATTTTGAGAAAACGGGAAAATTGAATTGTTAAAATCTCCAGTTCGAGAACATCGCGCAATTGCTATGGTAGCAAGAACAATCGGTTCGCTAAAAATTTGTGTAATAACATACCTGAAGAGAAGAACAGCGATTCAAACCGCTAATTATTGCACTGAGCGCCTTAGGATTTGTCTTTCACAATAAACAAAGTTAACTCAATATGAAGCACACCTCGGGAGAGAAGCAAAATCGGTGCTGAGAAACCTAGTAAAACGTCCCAGTTTGAAAATTTTAATTGGAATAAAGTATTAACCCAAAAACTGTGTGCTTTAGTCGAGAAGAGCGGGAGATCAAACGACGAACTTTTCCGGATGGAGGACTGGGACAAGCGGAGCGACCTCTCAATGGCACCACAAAACCACGGTGGCCCCCGGATTTTTGACAAACAGGATCTAGCTGAAAGAGAAATCGAACATCACCACTACAAGGCTCCCCCGAATTGCGGCACAAAGCAGCCAAGCCACCCAAGGAAGCGTACACAGTGTACCAGCTAACAGACCCTGCCGATCCAAAAACCCAGCCAGCTATAAAAACAACATGACCAAAAAATGAAAAATTAACTCCGCATACGGTAAAAATGAAAAACGGCTATTCATTACGAAGAAGCAGTGTCGCATTTAGATAAGATCCAGAACGGTTGAACGCAGTCGCAGGTCCATCATCGAGCACTAAGCGGACAGCAGCAGACCTTGTTGCCGACTATGTAACCGACGGTCTGACCACTGGGGCGGATAAGCCAAGGGCGCAAAGTGAAAAACAGGCACCAGCCAAGCGAGCGGCAAGGACGACGACAAAGTCACCGGAAAAACAGAAGAAGCGACGGACTGCTGAATCGAGCAGCGACTCAGACGACACTGCGAACGAAGCATGCACGCCAACGGCGACAGTGGTAAGTAAAGCGGAAACGAGAACGGCGACGGAAAGTGATCCACGCGGGAAAATGATACGATCGAAAGGACTCCAGAAGTAAGCACAAACGACAAAACGCCACCACGCAGATCGACGTAAAACTGTCACAAATTTTGGCGTGGTGATGATCCGACGGATCCAAGAAAGTGAGGGAACCAAATAAAAACCAAAACAGAAACAAAAGGAACTGACCAGCCTATAAAACTCAAAACAAAAACTGACAGAAACAAAAGAATAAGATACATATGTACAGCGAACTAAACTAAAGTTCCAAAATTTGAGTTCTTTAAGAAAAAAATCTCTTTGAATTAGGTCTGTACAATAAAAAAGTACTCCCTGTTTTTTATGCTTTGACCATTTAACTATTAATTGTATCTTGCTACCCTGTGAAGTTATCAAAATTACGCAAAAACAACGACATGAAATCCATGAAATTTCAAAAAATCTACGTCGATAATAATTTTTTTTCTGTTATGATTTCGATTATAATTTTTCTCAATTTTAACTTTGTGTTTATAACTTGCTCCTCGATATTTTTGAAAAATCCACGTAGATTCTATATATTTTTTCTGATATAAATTGGATTATAGTTTTTCTCAATTTTAACTTTGTGTTTATAAATTGCTCCTAGATTTATCTTAAGTTGAAGTTACTGTTTTTGTGGATGCAGTAGACGGCGACAGAGATAGCTGCGGCAAGAGCTCCGCAGCATGCACACGGAATGAGCAGCAGTAAGAACACATCCCTGTAAAACAATAATCAAATATAGTCAAACAAGAAAAACTTGTTCCAGGGCGCAAACCTGATTGCGCTCCGACTGTCCTTAGAAGTCCACTGAGAAATGTTCGACTTAAGATTTCTTATCCCGGGTCGAGATCTCGCTTAAAAACCGCTCAAGATATGAGCGGTTTGAGCGGTTTTTCAGCAAACTTTGAGCAGTTTGGGCGGTTTGAGCGGTTTTTTAGGAATAACCGCTCAAATCGCTCAAATCTTGCTTAAAAACCGCTCAAAAACCGCTCATTTCTTGCGGTGATTTTTGAACGGTTTCTCGAAATTGTAGCACAAGCATTTTTTCATACATGGAAATTGTAGGATAAGCATTTTTGGTCAACCCACGCTAAGATGCAGTTGAAATACTATCTACAATTTAAAAAAGTGCTTAACCGATCTCAAATCAAGCAAAAGTTTTTCGATGTCTTGACCAAAAACAATGTGAGCGACTTTTCTCAAATGCTCGAGCAAAATAACCACTGGACAGTTTGTAAGATTTGAGCGGTTTGAGCGTTTTTTTTAGACAATAACGCTCAATATCTTGCTTCAAAATGAGCGGTTTGAGCGGTTTTTGAACGGTTTATCTAAAAGAAACCGCTCAAAAACCGCACAAGGTTTGAACGGTTTTGAGCGGTTTATAGAAAAAAACCGCTCAAAAACCGCACAAGATTTGAGCGGTCTCTGAGCGGTTTCTCTAGATAAACCGCTCAAAACCGTTCAAATATTGCGAGGTCTTTGAGCGGTTTTTTTAGATAAACCGTTCAAAAACCGCTCAAACCGCTCATTTTGAAGCAAGATTTTGAGCGTAATTGTCTAAAAAAACCGCTCAAACTGCTCAAAACTTGCTTCAAATTAGGCGAAAAATCTCGACTCGGGATACTTTCGATTTTCTTAAGAATTTCTTAAATCCCCCTCCCGTACGTTATTTAAATCACAATGTGAACATTTTAGCCTTTAGTGAGGATTTAATTATAGAAACAAGCATGCCTCAAATCGTCCCGCTAAAATGGTTATTTTAAGAATCTCGTTTTGTCCGGAGAAAAAACCGTAGCGAGCACAAGTAATATGTTCTTTTATTTGAAAGTCAGAACAATCTGTCTTTTAGAAAGAAGACCCTGTTTTGGCCACACTTTCTGCGTCGCAGGCAAAATTTTGAAAAAACGGGCCAAAAAAAGCGTTTTTAAGCACTTTTTTGAAAATTTTGACCGAAAAATCAAGTTTTTTTTGGCGCGCGCTTAGTATATATTGAAGGCGCCTTTAGAAAGTTTTGAGGGTCCGTCAGCCAAAATGGGTATCTCAAAATAGTACAAAGGGGGGACCCTTCGGGTCGGCAGGTGGTTGAATTGTAAACTTCGTTGTAAACTCTCCTTGATTTTCTTTTTTTTTTCGATTAAAAGATTTTTTTTCGGCCTAATTGGTTTCGGTTTGTTCATTGTCGGTCTCGTTATTTTATCTTGAGCCCCTTGAAAAGCAAAAAACGGTCAATATTATTTTAAAAAATTCAGGTAGTTTGTTGCAAGAATTCAAATTTTTATATCCTAATTGCTCCATAGATTTTTATAATAAAAACATTTTGTTATGGCTGTTTTCGTTTTCAGCTCAATGGGTGCCCACTAATGGGTACCCACTAAATGTCGGCTTAGATTCTGCTGCGTAAAAACTGATTGATTATTTGATGCTGGTGGTTTTGGTCTTATGACTATTTTTTCTGAAATTTGTTTTTGTCTTATTTTTTCGATTTTGTCAATATCGTCTCATATTCTTTTGGCTAGCTTGCAATGCTAGGGTTGCGTTGTATTGCAACTGATGCAAAGTTCGGCCTCGCGTCTAAGTATATACTTATAACACTTATAACGCTACCTAAACTATTTTGTTTCATAATCCTCTTGTCTTGTACCCAAACACGCAGATAAAATTACTGAGAGCCGAATGATGTGTATGAGGCAAATGATGTGCAAGTAAAAGAAGCCACTTAAAAAACAGAAAAGAAAGTTTCTCAGGCCTACATTATACACACAAAAAACGTTTGCATGCAGAAATTGTATTAAAAAATCTGAGCACAAACCCTGTGCACTTCAAGATAATTTTTTCCAAGATTTTTCGAAATTTGATTTCTAATTTTATGTGGCGTTTGATAAATGCTGGTTATACATATTAGGAACAGCCTTTCTTACACTTTTATCTCGTTTTGAAACTCGTTTTTGAAACTCATATTGAAGCCATACTGAAAAAAAAAAACTTGTTACAATTAGTATCCTCAAGTTTGAAAAGAGTACCAAAACATTTTATTAGCTTTTCTACTTTCCAAACATTCCAATGTCTTTTTTGAAAAAATTTTCAAACGTTATGATGACGCAATTAAAATTGACATTGTGAAAAAAATAACCATTGTGAACAATTTTATTCTAATTACTTTGTTTTGTAACATCACGTTTTTAGCTATTGTAGCACGTTCGACAAATCTATAAATAGAAGTTTTGACAGAGTGGAAGTGTAAAAGAGCCACTATTTTCCGTTCCGCTTCTCAAAGAGTTTATCGTTATAATTGCTGAACGTGCTACTCTGGCTAAATGAGTGGCGTTACAAAGCAAAGTATTGAAAATAAATTTGTTCACATTTTTCATATGGATTTTGTAGAACGAGCAGTTTTTGGCTCATAGTGATCTCTCGTGCAATCATGGCCCCTTTTTTATACACGCGGCACCGATATCAAGGGTTTAGTAGCATACGGTTTTCACTAACTCTTTCAGCTATGTACATACATTTTCTACACCCATTTTATTTCAGCTTAATTTTATTTCAGCTTAATTTTTTCTCTGTTACACTTTAGCTAATTACAGTTTTGTCTTCTATCTATAAGTATAGCCAAGTATTTATATACAAATATTCTAGGAGTAAATCAAAATTAGCCAAGGTTGCAAAAAACGCTGATTTTCTTTTCATTTGTTTGCAAACTAAATATGTCTATAAAAAATTAAGAAAAACTTCTGAGTTAGAAGGTTTTTTTGTGATGTAAGTTATTAATCTAAAATTACAATAGAGTGTTTCTTTATCAAAACTGAGCGTGTGCATGTTAGTTCTGAGGAGAGCTATTGCGTGAAATTTTTTTCAAGATTTTGAGATGCAATGACTATTAATTTATTTACTATATATATGTAAATATATGTTTCGATATGGGCCCCAATATCATTCACATCGGGATTTGTAAATAAAATTCAGCAGAAAAACAATACGATTCACTAAAATGATTAGCAGTGTTATGGTCTTGCCAATTTAAAAAAAAAACTAGGAAATCATTTCCACACTTTTACAGATCATGAGGTCAAAAAATCGGCCCTTACAGAAAACAGGGGGAACAGCTTATACCAATCAAGATCAACCAGTTAGTTGACGTTGCATTTCGACTATACATTTTTGCATACTGCAGGGGAAAAAGTGGTATAGCCGACTATCTATCGAGAGATCCCAAATAATATGCACCCTCACCTGTAATTTTGCGGAACAGTTTGTTACCATAACAATAAAGAATTTTGATTCAGCCTGTCATAGTATCTATCAAGCAAACAAAGCTATTAGAAACGACATTTATGAAAATATTAACGTGATTGTACCTGGAGACGATGTTTACTCAGCACAAGAGGTCGCAAACTCAGAAGAGATTTTTCTCGTCCTATCAAATTCTTACCGACCGAATTTCAGAAAAGCGCCAGTGTGGCAAAATTATGAACGATTATTTTGACCAATCAAACTTGTTCCTTCGAGTTCAAAAATTACCGTGAGAAGACGGCGAGCATGTGATTGGAAATCTCAGCCAATGAGAGTCGAGTTTGCATTTTTATGCACAAAACGTGAAGAATTGTCGTCAACCGGGAGACGGCATGGTGAAAGTTTTTAACCAACGAGAGAGCAGCAAATTGAGCTCAACCGAGTTTATCCAAAGGTCATTGTCTCGGACCTTATTTTTCAAAATAATAACCTCAAACTCAACAATTTTCAAAAGCAACTATTCAATTAACTCTAATCCTAGTTTACAAATTTCAATTAGTTCTAATCCCATATCACAATTTCCAAACAATTTTAAATTTTCAGTTCCATCAAAAGTGTCATCAGATAAGTTAAATTTGCGGTCCATTTCCAAAAAGTTAGCCAGCTTAGCAGTAACTTCGAATAAGAGAGGGAGGAACTTTGAAAGATTACCGGAAATCATGTTCAAGAAAATTAGAAAGAAAAAGATTAGCAACCATGTCGCCTAAAAAATTGCAGATAGTTCTGAAGATTCGCGCAAAAAAACTCGCATCACTGAGACTGAAAACAATTTTAAAAAACCGCAAGATTGCATTGTATGATATCACGAGTCAATAAAATTGATGTGGGATGTCATCCGGTTGTTAAAAAGACGAGAAGTCATTCAAAACGAGTCTGTCGGACCTACAGGAAGGCGATCTATTGGGCGAACTGCCGTCAAAAGATGCCCCTTGCCCCTCCAAGAAAATATCGCGAAGGAATCTTGCGACTGTAGAAATATCTGTTGAGTTTCAGGGACAATTTCACGGTAATTAGTGATTATCGACAACAAAGCGGCAATCACGATAAGTCTCAAGAACGCAATAATGAATCGCTTGCACCGGATTCACCCTGGCCAAGAGCCAAAGGTTGACGCAGCTACGTAAACTTCATGGCCACAAAAACACCTGGAGATCGTTGATTTATGTCAGATCTATCGATGGTCTTCACTCTATGGTAAGAACTTTGAATCGGCGAAACCAATTGATTCCTCGAAACCGCTACCAGAACTCACTGGTCCAAATATTAAACTACGACTAGACTTCGCAGAACCAAATTTGACAATGAGGGGAAAATTATACATTTTGGTAGCATTCAATAGATCCTTCAGCGTTAATCACAAGATATACGGAAGCAGAATAAACAATCATTTTTCTTGCAGAATCTATACAAAGGGGCATAGCAAAGCAC